TCCTGTTTGTTACCTGGGACCTTCTCTGTTCCCCCCAAAAGCATTTGATGTGAATTAAGTTTTAACTATTTTTTGTTCAAATTGTTAATAGCTTTTGTTAAAGTGCTCTGGGGAGCTACCCTGCGTGAGGAGTGCTATATGAATGCTAGTTGTTGTTGAAAAGGTTACCTGCGATTCTCACAACCTATTGAATCTATTTGCATTTTCAAGACGAAGGTGGATAGATATTTGTTAGGTCAGCGTATCAAGGGATATGAGTGGGTAATTGGAGATGGGGTACAGATCAGCCATAATCTTATAGAATGGTGGAACAGGCTGAAGGGGCTGAATGGCTTACTCCTGTTTCTATGTTCCTACTACGGAGGAATTTTAGAGCTAGTTTTTAATCAAAGTCACTGCTGCGTAGTGATGGAGAATGGTGCCATAGCCTCTCACTTGTTTCATCAATACGAATGATTCATTGTGTCACCGACAGGTTTGGTAACAGGGAAGTGACAGCCCAAAGGAACCTTTACAGCGATGTGTTACATCCTAGGTTAGTTGTACACTTCAGTGACTGACAGGTACATTAAATTCATTCAAAGATTAATGGGAGTACAGCAGGATTCTGGTGCTTTTGCTATTGATGGGTCCTTGCTGTGAGACATTTGGAATGAATCTATTTGCTCTACTTTCTCTCTTTTAAAGCACTCCATGGTCTTGCTCCTCCCTACCTCTACAACCTACTTAAACCATGCCAACCTGCCCGCTCCCTCCGCTCAGCGGGCACTGGCCTATACTCCATGTTCCCTGCCCAGCCTGCTCCAGCATCAGGGATCAGGCCTGCAGGCTTTCTGCCCACACCCTCTGGAATTCTAACACAGAGCCCCTCTACCTCGCCCTTCCCTGCCTCCTTCAAGGCCTGTCTCAAGACCTTCCTCTTTAGACTGTGCCTTCAGTCATCCTAGCACCCCCACCTCTCTTGACTCCAACCCCAGCTCAGATACAAGCCCTCGACTGTCCAGCACCTTGGGACGTCCTCGCGATGTGAAAGGCGCTGTGCAAATACAATTTGTTCTTTTGTTACTCAGTGGTGTTTTGAAATGTTTTTATTATAAAGATAATATGTACTAGAACTGCCATCTAATCCTGTAGAGATGGTTATCAGGGAGTCATGTGCCGGCTATAAGGATAGGGTTGTGGTAATGTTTTGTGGCAGAACTGGATTGGCTAATCCACTCTGAAAATGTCACACTGTATCACAGCTTCCAAGCTTTACAACTTAAGAGGCTCCATGTTTAGTTTCTTGCAGAGTAAACCACTCCTTAATCACTGAACCACCTAAAGATATCTACAAGTAACAGAATTCAGGGTGTTTAAGTGCTAAATCTGTAGGGATAATAATTCATTAACTGAATGTAAATGTAACCACTGGTAATTAATGTAACATATAGAAACTATTACCTCTAAGTGAGGAGAAATCCACCAACCTTGCCGGCTAGAATTCCTCTTTTTACAGAACGTTTCAGAGTTCAGTCTCCAACTCAGAAGTTGTTTTTCTCTAGTTACTACAATAATTTAGAGAAAACTAGCTTCAAAATTAAACTGGCATATAAAAATTCATAAAATTCTGGTCGCTCTAAAATCTTATATAATTGTAAATCCTGTTGGAACGTCTTCCGAAGGATGACTATCTTACAGTGCATAATTTCCTCTCTCATGTGTTTCTCGTGTCACTTTGACTCAGTTGGTTTCACTCAAACTTCCGGGTCAGAAGGATATGGGTTGGTACTCCACCTCAGCTAATCATCTCTGCTGACACTTTGCTGCCGTATTGAGGAGCGCTGTATCATCGGAGATGTTGTCTTGCAGATGAGAAGTTAAACCTGGATTCTGTCTGCCTGTAAAGCAAATGTTCAAAGCACCTCCAAAATGGAGCTCACCCCCAGCACTGCTTTAGAGTGTCAGCATAGACTATGTGGGTTCCAAGTCCTGATGTGGGGCTTCAACCAACCACAACAACATCTTGCATTTATCTCACGCCTTTCAAGTGGTTAACATCTTGAAGCACTTAACAGTGGTGAAACATAGGAGAGATGAGTGAAGGCAGGTCCTGATTCCTGACAATACTCCGAGATAACAATGCTACCAACTGAGCCAGGCTGACACACAGTTACAATAATAATCCTTGCCTGTAATATTGGAATCTCCCAAAGTACAGTACATCACAAATAATTGATGTCAAGTGTAGTGACTGGGTACTGATTGGCAAACACAGTAACCATTTTGCGTACAGCACGATCTCACAAATGGTCACGACATGAACAACCAATTGATTTGGAATTTGACTTGCCAGGACACTGGAAGAAAATCCCTTCCCCTTTGTTCATCAAGGAGTAGTGAAAATCCGAAAATCTCTCCCCAAAAATGAGGTTTGGATGCTGGATCCATTCATATTTTCAAGACTGAGGTGGATAGATTTTTATTGGGTCAGTGTATCAAGGGATATGGGGCAAAGGCAAGTAATTGGAGTTGAGGAACAGATCAGCCATGATCTTATAGAATGGCGGAACAGGTTAGAGGGGCTGAATGGCCTCCTCCTGTTCCTATGTAACCAGCCCAGACCTTACCAGGGAATCTTTGCTGGGTGAAGATGTAGGACCACAGTTGACTCCAGTTGACGCTCCCGTCAAAAACAGCTCTTCGGCTCCTGCCCGCCTGCTGGCAGGGGAATTCCAACCAGGATCGCTCATCGGCCGACGAGATGAGGAGACGATATCCGAGCTCCTGCTGCGGACCAGCCTCTCCGAGTATGAGTACCTCTGCTTCAGCAGTTCGGCCTCGCTCTGCGCGCTCAAGTGAGAGGGGAATGGTGGCAGTCTGCCCTCGGTGCCTCCTATTGCTCCCTCTAGTATGGGAGGATCGGGAGGTGGCTGCGAAGGTCTGGCATAGTGTACTTTAGGCCTGACTATTGACGGTGTGATTGACGCTGAGAAGCAAAAACAATATTAGAATGAATCACTGACTTGACGAACTGTACAAGGTTTCCAGTGAAAATTCTATTATACTGATAGTCTTAAACAAAGGAGCTGACCCTCTGCTTAAGCAGTAACATAAAGAGAAACGTATTAGTCTACAATACATCACAGCAATATCACCAGAAACATGTGTTTGGTTGCTTTGATTTGAGATGGAACCAAGAAGTCGATGAAGCCTGCTCCGCCAGTTTATCAGATCAAAGCAGGTTTTTCAAACCAATTCCCCTGCATTTTTCCCATGTGCATTAATCTTCTGCTATGTATCTCCCAGTGCAAAATGCACCTTGAAAGAGTATCAACCTACCCTCAGAAGCCAGTGGATCAAACATTGCAAGCAAGGAGTCAGTCTGAGAAGGCGGAGAAGTCAGCGAATGAACTCCTGAAGAGAATTCCATGGAAATGACAGACAGAGAATGAAAACATTACGCTGTAGAATTCCCAAACGTACCACCACAGATTCTGAAAGATACACAATACTGAAGACCATGATACCAGAGAAACATTCACCATTCGTTCTGATTTTTAAAAAGCCAGTATTTCATTTACCTATCAACCACTTTCGCGAGGCAACAGAAAAGCACAGTGAGATATTTACACTTGGTCAGAAACCAAAAAAGGCTTAAAATGAAAAAAAACTTGAAAGAAAAGGGGTGAGGAAAACGATTACTTTTGAAATCTAAAGTCTTGCCTTACAATGTGTTGAAAAGATTTGTAAATAATAAGTCCTTGCATTTGATATAGCACCTTATCACCTCTTCAAGATGTCTGAAAGGGCTTCACAGAATATGCTGTAAAGTGAACTGACTGTATATTTTGTGGGCGAATCGCAGCAGCCAACTGTGCACAGCAGAGTCCCACAAACAGTTGTGGATTGAGTGACCAAATTATTTTTTTCACGTCTATTACATGAGGCAAGTTGGAAAGGGCCAAACTGATAATTGCTTTCAGTGACAAACACATTAAAAATGAATTACCAAAATCAATCAGTCACAAAAGGCTGTTTTACAATAAAATGTAATCCATTTATTCCATAGGATGCTGACACTTAATATGTGACATTGAGGCGACAGCCAGTGGGGGGATGCTCGACAGAAGAACTGTAAATAGTATCCAATAGCCCCCACAATCAGGAGTGATTTCTCAGACAGGGAAACAAATTTGGCTTTATCTGGCACTACATACTGTGCAAACGAAGAAGGACCTGTTAAATGTGTCTGTGTTTGCAGTCAGCCTGCAGGGGAAAGAGTGCTGTTCCCTCAGTTTTTTCTCTCTCTGACCTCCAATCTATTCACTGATCAAACTGGTCATCTAATCACAATAGACTTGTGGCTTTTTTTAGCCTATAACCAAAGTGTTCCACAAAGCTCTGAGCAGGCAAGGAAACGTCATCAACACACATGCACACATGCTCTGGTCGAGAGGTATTGGAACTTTCGCTGCTGGTTAGGGGATTCAAAGATTGAGAGGGCATGAAAAATAATAATAATAACGTGGTCACTCTATCCATGACTGTTTGTAGGGACCCTGCTGTGCGCAATTGGCTCCGCGTTTCGCCTACAAAATATACAGTCAATTTGCTTTACACTATATTCTGTGAAGTGCTTTGAGACATCTTGAAGACGTGATAAGGGACTTTAACAAATGCAAGGATTATCATTAGTAGTACTAGATAGGGAGAAACTGTTTCCACTAGCAGGTGGGTCAGTAACCAGGGACATAGATTTAAAATAATTGGCAAAAGAACCGGAGGGGAAATGAGGAGAATTTTTTTTTTTTTTTTTTTTTTTTACACAGAGTTGTTACAGTCTGGGAAACACTGCCTGAAAGACTGGTGGAAACAGAGTCAATAACAACTTTCAAAAGGGAATTGGACAGGTACTTGAAAAGGAAAAATTTGCAAGGTCATGGGGAAAGAGTGGGACTAGTTGGTAGCTCTTCCAAAGAGCCGGCTCAGGCACGATGGGCCGAATGGCCTCTTTCTATGCTGTAATATTCTATGATTCGATATTGCCTGCTTTTTTTGGTTTTTGGTTAAAGATTTCTGTGTTTGTTGAGGTAAACAAACCACATAGATTTACTTACCGTGAATAATATCATCCAATTCAGGGCTGGTGATGGAATCTTTGCCTCCGAAATCTGAGCTGCACTCTGACCGCAGATCCTCCGTCTTGTTGTGGATGTCCTCTGACGTGGCACTGACTCCTGTTAAAATCCAGTAAAGAAAAAAGCCTAAAAGCTGTTAATTCTGAAAATGTTAGTGTAAAGTATCACGATTGAATTTTGTGTTGTTTTACTTTGAAAGTTGCCATTATTTTGGGAGGGAGGGCTTGGGGAAGGATCAAACCTATTCTAAAGATGGGGAAGGATAGAGGCAGAGAGATAGAGGAAGAGTGTTCCAGCATTTCCAGAGAGGGTCGCAGTGGCTGAAAGAGCGGCCATCGATGGTGGAATGGAGGTCAGAGTCGGTACAGTACCTGATACAACGCTAAGACCGGGGGTACTGGGCCGTGAGCTGACCTCCCTCACTTCAGTGTCATCGGACGTGCTGCCCAGTCCCGAACAGCTCTCCAGCTCCTGCAGTCGCTCCTCCTGCTTCAAATCTGTGGCCTCTGCAACAACATGTACACAGGCCACTTGCTCATCATTCCTGCCCATTCCTGGTGTCCGCAGGTCAGAAACTTTAGAAGGACTTGGAAGTCCCCAGCTCCATCATGTATATATGTGTGTATGTGTGCATGTTTAAAAACAAATAATAATAATCCATGCGTTTGATATAGTGCCGCACAGGCTATACGGTAAAGTGAATTGACTATATATTTTGTGGGCGAAACACAGCAGCCAATTGAGCACCAGTGTCCCGCAAACACTCGTGGATTATTATATGGGGGTTATTACTAAATACAGGGAGTTTTTAAACTCGCTGAAAATCAAACAGAATTAGCCTTCTCGACAGAACAGGGAACAGTTATTATCACAACATTTGAATGTTTCAGTTGACAAACGTCGAGATGTTTTTGAAATGGTTTGCGGTTGTGCGACAATAAACAGTCCTGTATTAGTTGTTTTTAGTGAGGCCATACTTACAGCCATTGAGATCCTAAATGTCCAACTAAACTGGGCAAAGAACCGAGAAGTTTCTTTTTATTGATGGACACATTTGACAGCCATTATCTACTAACTAACAGCCTCCTCCTTCTCGCCCCCAAAAGCTGTACTGACCGGAGTCACTTGGTAGAACCTCCACACTCCAGGCCTCGCTAGTTGTCTCAGAGATGGTCGACCCTGTGCAAGGGTCAAGCAACACTGAACTTGAGCCTGGTAAACCCAGCAAGCTACCCAGCATGTTTTCTGCTGCTGCACCTATTGAAGCAAGAACACAGGTTACAGTAACACGAAGACACCACACCAGAAAACAACAATAAATTGCACTTACACACCGCCTTTCACATCGGGAGGATGTCCCAAGGCACTGACAGCTGAGGATAGGAATCAAGAGGGATGATTTTTTTCACCCCTTTAAACATTTAATATTTTTTAAGAAATGCGCTTGCAGATGAGGACTGGCCATTCATTCACAAGAACAGCAAACACCTCAATGCTAATGGACTGACGTTCAGATTTATAATAGTCCCAGGAAATATCACGCTTTCATCCCCACCGTCCAATAAATCTGTCACTTGTGGCAGCGAACACCCAATTCAGAGGAAACCTTCACAGAGGAAGTTTGCGGATCACAGGACGGAGAGGGTTGGGTTGGATTTAAGACATGACATACTCCATAGGATGTGCTGAAACACTCCCATTTCGTACATTCTCTTTTGATATTCTGAAAGAATTCTCAGTATAATTTTTTAAAAATTCATAATTTTAATTCAGAACTGCCCGATACTCAGTACTTTTAACCATGATTCTGGCAAACACAGCTAGCTTGTCCTACCTTTGAAATAAACAACAGCCAATTTTTGATCAACCATTTTTTTCCCTGAGATTATAGCAATAAAGGATCCATTTACAGGGTCCTGAGCATTATTTTCAGGTCACTCCCAATTTAAAGCTTGCCAAAGACAAATACAGGTATATGATTAAATGAGAGGCACAACAAGATCTGAAACAATTAGAATTTATGCCTCATTATCATGGTAATCTTATCACTGGGATAATGAGGTATTAATGGAGATTTAATGTGCATCTCATAACACTATCCCTTAGAGAAACACATAAGGAAATTGCTGCAAATTCAGTTAATGATATAAGCATCCCAAAACACATAATCTAAACGCATGAAAAATGCTGGATGCAAATGAGAAAGAGCCAAGGTCAATCACACTGTAGGGATTCGGCAAATGACAGTTTTATTTTAATGTCAGGTTTAAAAAAAAGGAAGTTGTGTTGTTCATAAACAATTGAAGTTTTCAGCAGCAATCTGAAACACTGAAAGTATGTCATGAATTTACCGTATAAGAGTGCACATGTGCAGCGCTTTTCACCGTCTGAAACGGCACCACAGAGGCTCACCCAACGTGGGGCTCGAGTGAGAGGGCACGAGTGAGCCAGTGATTCACTATGGGACTATTTTGCCAAGTGGATTGTAGCCATTTCCTTAAGGGGGTGGTGGTGTGTATGTGTGGAGGGGGTGGTGGGGGGGGGGGGGGGGGGTATGAGGGGGAATAAATAAATCAAACCAGTCAGCTGGTCATTCACCACAGGCTGCTTTTCATACATCTGCTAGTGGCTGCCTCCAAAGCTGGGAAATAATATTGAGGTTTAAATTGGGGGTGAAAGGAAATGGGAGCAAGAGAGGCATAGTGCACAGCTGGAGAATGAAAGAGCTTGCTTCATTGAGTGGTTTCTCTCAGTCTCTCTCCCTCAATCTATTTCATAGAAACAAGTTAATTCATATACAGTATACAGTCAATTCACTTACAGTATATTCTGTGAAGTGCTTTGAGATCTCAAAAACATGATAAGGTGCTATATCAAATGCAAGGATTATTATTATATAATCTTAAGGATGCAAAATAACCTCATCTTGGATGAAGGTGATGTCCTCATGACAAGATGTGACAGCTACTTTCAAAGCAGTTTGGGTGTAAATTGTTTGGATACTGGCAATTTTAGAAAGTCAATTCTGAATCGCAAGGCAGCACTTTAAGCTTCAAGTTTTGTCACACTTGAATCTCACTCTATAAGTTTGTCAGCCAACTTGTGTTCATAAAGAAACAAAATATGCAGAAAAATTACATCTAGTGCATTTATAGACAAAATAAAATGTTCTGCAATATCCAACATCAATCATAAACACATCGGGGTTTAATTTACAATATTTCCAAACAGATTTCTCAATAACTAAGTAGTAATTGAATTTCTAAAAGATCCAATGCATTATTCAGCACGTTTGATGTGTTAGAAACTCAATAATTGCACATTTTGTATTAAGAAATACCATAAATTTGTGCCCATCAGCAAGATTTGTAGCTGGTCATCAATCGACTGCAATAATCTTTTCGAGACCACCATGTTGAACGTGATAGGTTTGCATTCTTCCCATGTAGCTAAACGTCCACTAAAATCCTCTCTCTTAATCATCCTTTCTCTTAATCATGTGCTATTTATCAAAGGGCAGATGAGAAAACTTACCACCCCTCTTTATTAAGAACATAATTGGTTCATTAATGTCATTTAGAGCTGGTTCTCCATCTTAAACACACACACACCAATTATCTCTTTAAAACATTGGTTGCTTCTACGTCAAGATACTGTACCGACATTACCTAATTTTGATGTCCAATTATAATCCCACTCCAAAACACAAGTAGGAGCGTTGAAACGCTCATAGATTCACCAGCAGGTGTGAAGCATTTACCTGCAATATCCTGAAGTCGATCTTCATCGATGTTTGGATCAAAATCGCTGCCCAGGACGTCAGTGCTCCAGGTCTCGCTCACGGTCTCCGAAATGTCCCTGTCATCTGTCAGCCCCATCATGTCTCGAATCTCAAATTTACGCAACTTGTCATCCAGATTGTCCTGTGTTGTGGCTGAAAGGAACGCAGGGCATCACTCTCTTCGGTCACCTTCATCATTCAGCTTTGCACAGAATAATTTGGGGTTCTAGTATTCCTCACCCCCTTTTAAGGCAGTGACTCACACTGAGACATTCTCCCACAGACAAGCGGCCTTTCTTATTGAGCACATCCTGACAGTGACAGCAAACTGTGACAGCAGATGGCATCACAGCCAATCTTCACCCTCCCCCAACCCCAACTCCCACCCTCCACACACACACTTTTCGGCAAGGGTGTCTGGAGCAGCAATAAAGAGCCCTATTATTTTTTTAAAATGGGAGAGAATTCGGGGACAGTCTTTTCCGGCTATGACTGCTCACTAGTGTCAGTGACGCAACAGATAAGAGTATTAAAGAGTATGGAGAAAAGCCAGAAAACCTCATACGATCTAAAATAAAACCAACCACACAAACCAGTGTTGAATGGTTCCTGTTCCTACAATGAACTCTCTGTCCTGCCTACCTTGTTCATGCTCCAGCAGCTGCAAAGCCTCCACACCATTACTGCCGGACGGTCCTGCTCCCAGCTCCGAGACAGATTCACCCTCCAGGTCCAGCGAGGAGACAGAATTTGAGCGGTTCGAAGGCCCTGTTTTAAGTAAAATTTGCCAAATGTTACCATAATTAAATTTTGGTCTTTAACATTAGAATGCTTCACTGTCCATCAACCTGCCAAACTTACTGCTGTGAATGAAGTTCAACCACATCGACATAACATCAGTGATGCACCCAGAACTTGGGAGTTCCCACCTGAGCAATCAGGAGCAGTTTAAGACTCCACAGCATCATCTTAAAGCATTTTTAATCCAGTGCTTAACTTTGGACCAATCAGTCAGGATACGGGCATAAAACTACATACAAACACTGAAATCAAATAGAAAGACTGATTTTTCCGGCTGAATTCTCCAGATATTGATGGGAGTGGAACTAGGCACAAAGTGGCTAAAGATTTAAATGGTAAAACTTAAAAGTGTTTAAGAGAAAATGCTTTCTTTCTCATTGTGTTATTCTGTGATAAGCACTCCAATGCCATTTGATCACTATTTTACATTCAAAATTACAGGTTTGCTGAAGACTGATTTGGTCTGAAGGACTCAATGCTATTTATTAGAGAAGAAATTCCCCCACCTTCTGATATTCCTTCCAAGTTGTCACTGCAGAGTGAAAAACGTAGCGTTTTGTCTGGCTTTCCATGCAGTTTACCATCATCTACAGGCACCTCTCCCGGTCCATTCTCAGCAAGCTGCATGCTCAGAACCTGGCAAGATTGTAAAGAGGAACTTGTTAGATTGTGTGTTAACATCCAGAACTGGGCAAAACTCTCAACAACAATAATTGTGCTCTATCAACTGCTCGAACAGAGGGAGATACTTAAGTTAATGTTCCACAGGTTCACACGTTTTTAGGCTACTTTGAAAATGATCATTCCTATCCATTAAAGCAAGTTTACACCAAAGACAGCTGCTAATGGGTCTGTAACAATATGCAAAAGCAATCTAAGAATAATAATCTTTGCATTTGATGTAGTGCCATATCACATCTTTGAGAGGTCTAAGTGCTTCACAGAATATACCTCTAAGTGAATTGACTGTATATTTTGTGGGCAAAACGCGGCAGTACACAGTAGTGTCCCACAAACAGTTATGGATTGAGTGAGCAAATTATTATTATTATTATTTTTGAAAGGGTTATTACCCCCAGAAAAGCGATCCGTCAATCGACTAACAACCGGGTTATTGCTAGGTAAACAGAGGCATGTGGAGTAATGAATTTGCCCAATGTTTCGCCCAGCCCGGGAATCGAACCCAGGTCCTCTTCCTTGTGAGGCGAGTGCTCTAAGTCATTCATATTGTTAGTGAGAGCTTGGCAGCCCAAAGCAGTATTTCTTTAACATCCTCCAATCCTATGAATTATTTTTCTATGTGTTTCTGTCTCACAAGTTTTGTCGGTCTTAACAGACCGTTAACAATATGCTGACCACTAGGCGGATTGAATTCCTTGTTTTTTTAAACTCCCAGAACAGAGAGCGAGAGAGAGAGAAAAAAGCAGATTCACATTCTGCCTTGGTTGCTGTGGTTTGGTTTATGGCAGCTAAAAATCAAGCAATGTCTGTAGGTTCTATAGTGAAAGACAGAAGAGAAACACTGAACTACAATGAGGGCGTTTGTTGGAGATGAGCATACAGGACTGCAATGTGGGTTCACAGCATTACACAAAAAATCGTGGTTTCATAAAATGAGTCAGTGAACAGCAGGTCTCATAACAGCATTTCTTTCATGCACTTCCCATTTCTGTACATGCATGAAGACATTAAACTGTACTGCAAATTACTGAGTGGTGTCATGTTTTTTAAACTAAAGTCCCAAGTTAAGCATGGACAGTTATACAGACCTCAAGCTGCAGTAAGCTGTATTTTTCAAGGATGCGAAGGAGCATTACATCCACTCTGAACAGAAAAGGTTTTTTTGGGGGCACCAAAGCCAAACACAACCGCTGCATCTGCAGCTCTAAGTTGAAATGAAGCAATTAACCTGTTACATCACACTATTTCACCCACAAAATATAGTCAGTTCACTTCACAGTATATTATGTGAAGTGCTTTGAGACATTTCGAAGACGTGGTAAGGAGCTATATCAGATGCAAGGATTATTATTAATATAATTTCATTATACACTCAAGTGGATATCAAGCTTGGGAAAAGTTGCTACAGAAATTTAAAGGTTCAATATTATTTCATACTGAGAATAATTCTGGAGGGGGCTGAGGTGAGTGAGGGAAGGGTCACTGACTAACTTTTAAGGGGGGGGGGGGGGGGAGAATCATTGACTAATTTGTGGATACGTTTCACCTCACTACTAGATGGAGATTCAACCTTTTGAAGGTTGCGCTGCACAGTCTAACTTACATCATAGGAGACCTTACCTCGTTTTCCGACATCATGCCAGGGCTGACCTGGGAGGAGATACCCAGGCAAATGACCAAGACTTCTTCAGGCTGAACTTCCTGTAATGACTCCTGAGAAGTACTTTCATGTTCCAGGTGCTGGTCTTTCGCTTCATTCGCCCGGTTCCTATTCCTCCCAGCTACAACAACAACAAATTACATTTGTATCGCTCCTTTCACAATGGGACGACATCCCAAGGGATTTGGACTGGAGCAGGGGGCTGGGATCAGGAGGGGTGGAGGGCAGGGAAGATAGGGGTAGGAGGTTGGCCAAAGGTGCGGTCAAAGAGGATGGTCTTGAGATATTGATCAAAACATTGATTGGAAAGAAATGAGCTTTAGCCGAACCACAGTACATCTAATTCACATCCAGACTGACTAAACTAACATAACTACGTACTACTTCAAAACACTCCATTTCTTTTCTGCCTAAAATAGCAAGTTGATGCAGCACAACAGAAACAGGCTCGGTAAAGTATGGGTCCATTGGGAATGAACACTTAAAGTGACAATTTAAATATGTTCATTCCATCTTCAAGTGGGTATAAATGAGGTTTATGAAGGAAGAGATCTATAGAAATTGGTTTCCAAAAGAATGCTTAATATGTTCTTTTCTACAATTGCATCTAGTTATAGGACAATGACATTTACAAAATAAAAAACAATTAATTCTAAACACTTGAACAATTTCAGACATATTACAGTTTCAATTAGACCTTAGTTTTCTTTGTGTAAGTATCATTCTCAGATCTTATACTGCTGAAAAGCTATTACCCACCAAATGGGGTTACAAGGGGAATATGAGCGGTCAGGGTTGTAGTGGAGGAATCCCAGGCAGTAATGGCAGCTAATTGTTGTCCTGAGTGCAGGCAGCATTAAAGGAAGGAAAACCAACTGCATGTTAATCATTCCCATAGAAAATGCAAAGTCAGAAAAACATTTCTTATCCCATAACCAAGTTGCACGTTTTCGCACTAGTTTGTCATTTAAACTCGTAACCTATAAAAAACAAATACATGCAACACATTCACTACTCCCAGGACACTGAACTTTTTTTGCAGCCTTGAATATCACAAACAACTCAAATTTGATGATAATAATAATCTTTGCATTTGATATAGCACCTTATCACATCTTCGAGATGTGTCAAAGCTCTTCACAGAATATGCTGTGAAGTGAATTGACTATATAGTTTGTGAGTAAAACTAATCTAGGAAGTCCCACAGACCGTCCAGAGGAGATGCCGGAATGGGAAGTTAATTAGTGCTGAGTCAGTTTGCCAAGTGAAAGTAATATACAAAGCAGGATTTCCTCCTGACTTATATTAAAAACGGGTTTTGCTGCTGTGGCCAAAAGTCGCAGGGTGCATGCAAATTATAAACATGCACTGATCGCCCAACAGCGTTAGCAAGCCGGCTGTAATTTGTGAATTATCAAATCAGCCAGAAACCCAGCATGCACAGATGTGTAGTGAAGGAAAGGACTGGATTTATTCTAGCAGCTGAATATATTTAATAAGTATGCCAATCCCTACTTCCACTTCCCCACTCAAGTGAAATAAAAGGTACAATTCTACTGATATAAACCCGACAATCACCCCCGGGCCAAAGGGAAAATATTTGGATCTCACTCCCATTCAGAAACACTACCACTCCAATCAGTTAGAATAACTTCAGTACCCACTGAAAAGCATTCTGTTGTTGCTCAGAATGCAAAATGAGCATTTTAAAATATGGCCCTCCGTTCCACCATCGATGGCCGCGCTTTCAGCCATTACGTCTTGAAACTCTGGAACACTCTTCCTCCATCCCTCTGCCTTGCCTCTTCCTTCACCATCTTCAGATTACGCTTGAAGACCTTCCTCTTCAACTGTGCCTATTGTCACCTCCCCCCTCCCCCGGCTTGGCCTCATGCTCCACCACTGTCAAGTGCTCTGGGATGCTACCCTGTGTGAGGGGAGCTAGATGAATGCAAGTTGTTAAAAGTTGTTAGTTGAATTAAGCAGCACAGCACAAAGTCCATCTACATTACTGAAAGAGCTTCAGATTTCATATCGCTGAAGGGCAACATTAACCAGACTGAAATCAGCGAAACTGTACAAATTAACTTATTTACTGCTTGTTAGTCATTTCACATTCATAATAATTTAAACTGGAAACACATGTTTCTTAAATTCTTTCAAAAGATAATCTATTTCACTGTCATAATTTGCTGAAAGAGAAATCCTACATTATATAGAATGTAATCATATGGGGTTTGGAGCAGGTAAATTGAGCAGGCAAAGGGGCCAACAAGACAGAAGTTCACAGCTTAACCAGTTCAGTTACCATGAATCGACTCAATCAGTGCCAGATGGAAATTCGTCTTGATTTTAACTGTTATTTATTTTAAATAAACTTTAAGTGATGAAGTTACTTGCTTAAGCCTCACAGCATAACCCAGTGAAAGGGTTTGCTGTTGAATCTAAGTAGAACATGCACGATTTGGGCAAATATAGACAAAATGAACACAAGGCATATTTCCCAAGACACTGATTGCTCGGATGAAAACACAAGTGTCTTCCAGCATGATCACTGTAGGAGCATGCAGATAACACCCTACCCTTACCGTCAGAACAAAATCAGGAGCATTGCAACGTTTAAGTCTTTCAGCACCAAGCAAACTTAACACATTGCTTAATTCATTACTACTTTCAAAGTAAAACTGCCCATCACACCTGCAAAAGCTTTTTGTTCTTCAAAATCTTTAGATTAAATTATTTTAACATATTTGGACAATTGTAGATAAGATTAATAGGCATTTCTAAATTCCTAATTTGTTTAAATATATTGCACACACAGGACTTACAGCAGTCTTCACGGGGTTAACAAAAACAGCTGTGTCTCCTACCTATTGGCAGGCGATTTTTTTTGTTGGCTGGAGTGGTTGCAGGAGACAGCTGGGGTGTGCTGGAGGGAGTGAGCTCAAGGCTACTGCTCTTGCCCGTCCTGTGATGAGGAACGTTAATGATGAGATTCTCCAGAGCCATCCTGTCCTCCTCTCTCAGCAGATCCCCTGGCATGACATGCCGCGTGAATGTAACCTGTAACACCAATTAAACAGATAACATTTCACTTTAGCCAGTAAACAGATCTATTGCAACATGTGCAGACAAGCCGTGAACCTACAGAATTTGAATTCAGTGAAAGAAGTGAAATAAACCGAGTAAATTTTATTTATAAATTGAGAATACTCTCGTTCTTCATATCTCACAGAATCATAGAATCTTACAGCACAGGAGAAGGCTATTCAGCCCATCGTGCCTGGGCCGGCTCTTTCAAAGAGCTACCAACTAGTCCCACTCCCCTGCTCTTACCCTATATCCCTGCAATTTTTTTCCTTTTTAAGTACCTATCTAATTTCCTTTTGAAAGCTATTATTGAATCTGCTTCCACGACCCTTTCAGTGCTCTTGCTGCTTGCTGAAAGTCCCACGTGCGACTTATTGCTTGTATATATTTTTGGATGGGGGGGAGATGAGAAGAAAGAAAGTGAAACGGATGTGCAGAATGGGGGGCAAGGAGGAGAGGGGAAAGAAAGAGGGCAACAATGCTGTGTGCCCAGTGTCTGCTACTGCTTGCCCACAATGAGCCAATGGAGTAAATATACTGCATTAACACCAGCTGAAATTCCTTTTCAAACAGGAAATTGTCTCAATGGTCTCAATTCAACCCTGCCCAGAATGGCTCTATCAAATTCAGATTAGTTGTGAGCTGGGCACAACCCACAGTTCTTGCAGTGCATTCTCCAGCACACACTTGCACAAACCCACAAATTGCCACTTTAGGCAATTTGAACATTGAAGAACCATGTAATTTGGAACGGGGGGTGGAATTATTATACAGAAACATAGGAACAGCAGTAGGCCATTCAGCCCCTCAGGCCTGTTCCGCCATTCTATAGGATCTTGACTGATCTCTACCAATTACCCACCCTTGCCCCATATCCCTTGATACCCTTACCTAACAAATATCTATCTACAAGCATAGGAACAGCACAGACTGCTTGAGAGTGAAGAATGGGAAGCAAAGGACAATATTTAAGGGCAACAGCTAAATCTTTTGCAGTCAGTAAAAAGTTCACCTCCCTGACGAGATGAATTGTGTGCAGACCCGAAGGAATGCGAGGACTTACCAAGTTCATTAGCTGGTTGTGGGTCATGTAAATCACAGTCCTGCTGAGTCCCTCCAGCAAGTTCATGGAGGACATGGGAGGAGTTTCTACTGGTCGGCCTCCAATAATAGCGTCCAAGAAAGCTGCCACGCAACTCTGCAAAATCCAACAGTATCAATGGAATGGGGCAAAGTGAAGGATTAGAACCCTAATCTTGAGTTCACAGACATTCTGTGGTACTAATTAAGAGTCAAAGAGCAATTAATCCCTTTGGTTTTAGAGCACATTTTCTTGATAATCCCTCGGTCTCCCTTTGGTTTTCCTTCCCTCCTTCCAGGAAGGCTTGTTGCTAACTGTCTTGTTGCTAACTGAAGGAAAAAGCCATGCTCTTCTACTCCATAGCAAATGTCAGCAAATGGCCTGAAGTACGCTTATCCTGTCACAAGTCATCACCCAGGGTACTGACCTGTAATCACTAAAGCTAGTGACACCAGATTTGATCTCCCATGGAAAAAATGACACTCAGCCATCCTAATGCACAAATGTTGCAGCACTACTGAATCACCTACGCCCATATGACCTCCACAACGCAGCAGCTATTTTCTTCTGGCACAATCAGATAGGACTCCTGTCTGAACAACTCGCACATAAAGCAGGTCAAGGGAGACATTCTTAAATGAAGACACACCCAATTTGAACCCATCTTTCTTTTTCACACACAGATTGACCTGCATTTTCTATTTTTATTTAAAGTTTTCCCCAGCTTTTGTTCTTATCCACACGAATTACAGATAATCATTGCACTTTGTCTACATACACTGCCATGTGAACAGAAAACAACAACAAATTACAATTTTTTGTATAGCGCCTTTCACATCAGGAGGCAGTCCCAAAGCGCTAAACAGTCAGGGATCCACACATCTGAAAAGTAGCAAGTACCCACCTTAACATAATAATAAATAATAATAAACCTTGCATTTGGTATAGCACATTTTCACTCACATCTTCGAGATGTTTCAAAGTGCTTCACAAAATATACCATAAAGTGAAGTGACTGTACATTTTGTGGGGAAAAACAGCAGCCAATTGCACACAATTGTGTCTCACAAACAGTCGTGGATTGAGTGACCAAATTATTTATTTATTAATTTTGAAGGGGTCATTACCTGCGGAAAAGCAATCGGTCAATCGACTAACAACCAGGTTCCTACTTACTGCTAGGTAAACAGAGGCATGTGATGCAAGGAAACTTACCCAGTGTTTCGCCCTGCCTGGGAATCGCACCCAGATCCTCTCGCTTGCGAGGCGAGTGCTCTAACCATTGAGCTACAGGACTACACAATACATTTTATTACATAATAGTACATGTTCTACATTCAAATATATTATGAAGTTCCTCTCATCTCTTTTGAGCATTACCTTACTGATGGAAGGGAAGGTAAATGAAGGGGTTAGCATAGGGTAAATAATCATAACTTATTTCCACTGAAATGCAAGGATGTAAGTCGAGAGACAAGAAAGCATAATTTGAATAGAATCAGAGAGAATTAACAAGGAGGTTAGAAAAAAATCCTTGCATTTGTTTTGCTTTTTGGATTGATAGTTCAGACGCCTTAGAATAGTATAACACAGAATAATATTCCACAGTAGAAGGTGAATAATCTTACTTTGTCAAATTTGCAGAGACTGTTCTTCAGTCGTGGATCCCCTTCCTCGCTGCCAATCATCGCCAGCTGCTGTAACAGTTTCCCGACCTAGTCCAACAAAGAAAATGATCTGAAAGATGTGTCTCTGCCTCCCAAATGGCAAATACGCAAAGCTCCACACCACTTGCCCAACTCTGAATCTACATTACACACTTTGAACAGTTACCTACTCTGGCACAACATTCCCACGATCACAACAGCACACAAGTCATCATGTTCCTCATGGTAATCTATCAATGTTGGACACACTAAACTCATTAATACAACCTGTCCATAAACAGCTTCACAAGTTCACCTCAGACTCATTTATATTCTCTCTAGACTGCAAAATACAATTCAAAATCCAGCTTATACAAGACCCTCGTTGAAAGGACAGATCAAAGCCAATTGCTCTTCAACTGAAAATAGGCGGAAATCCCTAACGCCACTGCCAGAGCGCTCTGGGACGTTGTTGTTGCCAGAGCACAGCGTTGGCATCAACATGTGAAAGAATTTCATTAAATCCACCTCTGCATCATCGCAAGAGAAACAAAGGAAGGAAATTATCTGAGTAAACTACTATCCATGGCGGCAGATACCAGAAACCAATCACATGCCGATTCAATGAAAGCTCACTCTGCATCAATCAACTGGAACCAGAATGAATTGAGACGCGCCACTAGCAACGTAAAACATTACTCTCTCATATCATAACTCTACTAGTAGCAAATAATTTGTACATTTATGTTCTTTGGTGCCATCAGTCTGCAACAGTTAACCTGTAACAGATCCACAGGCAAATGGGATTCTTGGTTTAACTCCTGCTTACAATACAATGCTTACAAGTTCAGCAAACAATAAGAGCATTGATTACAAAATTAGGTGTGTAAAATGCACTTTCATGAGATTTTCATGCCCTAAAATATTCAGAGGATGTAACTTATACATGAGTTCAAGATCTTTTTGGCAGCTGGAGTTAAAGGCACAGGTATGACCTTTATTTACGCTTGTATACGGGTTAGGGTATACCTTGTATAAATGCTGGAGGCAGGTTAGCTTCAAGTAAATTATTAAATTACAATGAGGCAGTGCACAGTTCCTTAAGCTGTAGCAACATGCTACAAATTTTTAAAACCGCTAAGAAATTTTGCATTTAGAGCTTTTACAGAATAGAGGCTCATTAAAGCTATAATGACCTACATTAACAAGGCTTATATACATTTTCTAAATTTACTCCACTCATTTACAAAATCTCAATGATTCTTACGCATTGAGAATAAATACCATGCATTTCCGGTTAGATAGATGCACAGCTTAAGGTAATACAATCCACCTTCGCTTCAGTTGTGTTCCAGTTACAGATTGACAACTCCACCGGGTCAATGAGATTGCAAGTATTTTGTAATGACAACATGCTCGCCCATTAATGTGCAAAACATTTCTGCTCCAAACAGACTTTAGTTTACTATCAATTCCAGTTTTACTCATTTTGTATTACACCAGCAATCATATTAAATTTACACATTTAGTAAAATTTTCAATTTTCCAACCATGAATCATTGGGAAACCATGTTGAAAAGAAATGACATTGGGGGAATTTAGTTTCTCTTAAGCAGCAACAGGATTGGGCACGTGCATCTGGCCATAAAACTGGAAAAAGGAGAGAAATATATCCAAGTTCCATCCTCTCATATTTTAACGAGCATTCAATGCAACTTATCTTAATGAGACCATGGACTCCTCATCTCCCTCAGTCGTGTATGTCCTGTACAACTTAAGGCTTGGTGTCACCCAACTAATTCCCGACTGACCTTTTTTTAAGGTCTTTGCCACTCAATGTTAAAAAGTCCTCAATGCGGCTGAAATAAACAAAATCCTTACTGCTGAATATTAGGAAAATAACAGAACTTAGATCTTACCTGCATTAAGTTAAATCTTGCCACTTCATTTATTGGAGCATCAGAGATGATCCCATACTGTTCCGGATTCACAACAGCTGGGCAAATAAAGTAGGCAAGCAAGAGATCTGTGCACATGGCCTTCACCTCCCCAATATCCAGTCCCTCCACACAAGACAAGGTTTTGTACATTTGTGAGACAATCCAACGCAAGCTATGTGGGAAACAGTATGTGTTCTGTTTCAGGTACCCGATAAATTTATTGACCAGGGCTACCAGCTTTGCCTCGTTGCTTTCCACCATCTCCTGCACCTTCCTTTTGAAATTCTCACTTCCTTTCTCTCCAAATAGCTTCTCCTGCTGTGTGGGAGAAAACCTCTCAATCAGCTTGTTTGGGTCCGTTTCCAGGTGATCTTCATCTTCTACCAGAAGCAGCATAATCGGCTCATGCAAGGTAGCCGTCAGGAACAGCTTGGCCGAGTACAGCCCCTCTGAAAAGAGTTTGAAGAGAATGCTGAATGCGCACGCGCCCCTGCGAAGCAGCCGCCTGGTGTTGTCGCTCTCCTTCAGTTCGAACTCGATCAGGTAACGCAGGACCTGCAGGAGGTAACTCTCGTCCTCTTGCATGATGCAGTTGCCATAGAGGGAGGTGAACACCGTGAGGATGACGCTGTGCGTGTTTTCGTAACTGAGCTTTTCCCCAGCAACCAAGCAAGAGGCCACGAGTCTCGGGTTCTCCCTCAGACGGTTTAAAAACTCCCCGTAAAGCGTCTCTTGGAATCCCAGTTGTTTGTATCCGTCCACAAACTGCGTGCTCTCCAAGACCTTGGCGTGGTTGCAACATTCTGCAGGAGATGCTTCAACACTGAAACAGAAGATAAATTTTTATTGACTTTGAATATGATCTATTATTCATGTCCTGAACTCCTGCCTTCTCAACACCAGGAGCATTATTTATAAACTATATCTACAACACGTGTACTTCAACTTTAGTGGTGTTAATCGCAGATGCTTCCAATCTGGCATTCAAAATTTCTAGGTATGTAACTCTAATAATCAGTGTCCCACCAACAGAATGTCAAGGTCAAACAAGGGTCTAAAACATTCAGTGAAGTGACCTCCTCTCACCACATCATTAACAGATGGTTAAGTAACTCACACAACTGTCAATGCAGATAAAAAAACATAGCGGTACTACATTAGCAATTATTTGTGAATGACAGAGGCTAATAATAACCAGAAGAGTTCTGCTTAAAAACCCTGAACGGGAAAGAATTATGAATAAATGCTGAAGCCATTATTTAGTGAGCCTCGGTGTGAGAAGTTAATCTGGGTAGTGAAGCAAGAAGGATTTACATAAACTGGGGGAAATGTCCATATGATAATAAAGCAAGTGGGGGTAAAGTGATCTTTCAAATAATAATAATAATAATAATCCTTGCATTTGATATAGCGCTTTTCACATCGGGAGGACGTCCCAAAGCGCTTCACAGAACACACTGTAAAGTGAATTGACTGTATATTTGTGGGCGAACGCGGCAGTCAATTGCGCACAGCAATGTCCCACAAACAGTCGTGGATTGAAACTGACCAATTATTATTGGGTTTTTTGGGTTTTTGGAGGGATTATTATTAGGCGTGTGGAGAAAGGAAACTTGTCCAAGGTTTCGCCCTGCCTGGTTTTATTTCTATTTTATTTGGAGTTGTAAAGTGCTGATTTCATTTCAGTTCCAGCCAACAATTACAACCACAAAATGTTCACGTCTAGAGAACGTCCCAAGGCACTGGACAGGGGTGGGGGTATGACGGAAGGCACTGTCTTGAAGGAGGGTCTTGAAGGAAACAAGGGAGGGGGCAAGGCGGAGGGACTGCGGAATAGAGTTCCGGAGGGTGGGGGCAGAGTGGCAGAAGGCCCACTCGCCAATGGTGGGGCGTGTGAGGTGGGGGACATGTAGCAGGCCGGAGCCCGCTGAGCAGAGGGTGCGGGCAGGTTGGTAAGGGGTTAGGAGGTCACAGAGGTAGGGGGGAGCAAGGCCATGGAGAGCTTTGAAGGTGAGGACTAGGATCTTGAACTGTATCCTCTGTGTGATGGGAAGCCAGTGGAGTCGAGCGAGGATGGGGGTGATAGGGTCGCAGAGGCTGGTGTGGGAGAGGACATGAGCTACAGAGTTCTGGATGATCTGCAGCCTATGGAGAGGAGTTGGAAGGACAACAAAGCAGGGAGTTTGCATAATCGAGCCTGGATATTATAAATGCGTTTATGAGTGTCTCGGAGACCTGCGGTGTAAGACACTGGGGGAGCCAGGCGATGTTGCAGAGGTGGGGGAAGGCAGAGTGGGTCATGGCAAGGATGTAGGGTAGAAAGGATAGTTGAGGGTCAAACCAAGGTTCCGGACTGGCTTAGTAAGGTGGAGCTGTCAGTGCCTGAGGTGAGGAGGCGCTGACGGAAGCCAGCCAGGAGAGCTTCGGTCTTGTTGACGTTCAACTGTAGGAAGTTAGCTCTCATCCAAGAATTGATGTCTAACAGACATTCAGCAGTGGTCCTGGAGTCGAGGGTGAAGGCAGAAAAGTAGAATTGGGTGTCATCCGCATACATGTAGAAATTGACCCCATGTCTGCGGATGACGTCACCAAGAGGGAGTATATAGATATTGAAAAGGAGAGGAACAAAGACAGAGCCCCGAGGAATGCCGCATGAGACGGTGCAGGGGCTAGAGGAGAAGCCATTTGTAGAATTGAAGAGACAGTGTGAAAGGTAGGATCTGAATCATTCAAGGACAGAACCATGAAGGTTGAGGTGAGAGGAGAGCCGGTGGAGGAGGATACATTGGTCAGGAGAACCACAGCGTTAAAACCCAACTTTAGGACGTTCCGTTCCATACTTTGTGGCTGTTTGGCCTAACTCAAGAAGATTTATAACAAAAACAGAAGTCGCTGGTCAGTTCTGACGAAGGGTTGTGGATCCGAAACGTTGACTCACTTTCCTTTCTCCATAGATGCTGCCTGACCTGCTAGGTGTTCCCAGCGACTTCTGTTTATGTTTCAGATTTCCAGCATCTGCAGTATTTTGCGTTTTGTTCAAGTAGAAAAAAAAGTTCTTTCTTCAAGACACAATTTTTATTGTTAAATCCATCAGTGCAATGGTTGGCAACCCCCAGTGGGGCAGGACAGTATGCTGGATTTCAAACCAGTTGCAATATAGGAGCTCTGATCTCAGTCAAGGGAAGAACGCATAGACCAATAACTGGGAGTTGACTCACCCCACAAGGAGCAGAGGCTGGGATACGCGTTTGCCAAAATAGACAGGATGGGGTTCAGCACACAAAAACTCAAGAGAGGGAAGCATACTTCATTTTATAAAAAAATAAGAAATTAATCACTTAAAATCGATTATGAACTGGCAAGTAAACTGGAAGACTTTACACAAATCATTATTTGTACAGCTGAGGCCCATATATGTTCTGAATTACGCTGCTACAGACTAAGTAGGATTTGTGCCAATAGAATAACCAGGACACAGCAGGCAATTTCCCTCCATCTTCAAATATCTGCCTTAACATACTGATTGGGAGAGGCCAAGGGCTGGCTATCTCCATCAATCCATGGTTAAACTTCACATTGACTGATACTCCCTAGCAATATCATAGTTGGCAAAGTGCCAGAAAAAGAATTTTTAGTGATAAAGATCCCAGAGGCAACCTTAATCAAATCATTAAAATTAAGACAAAAGTGAGACAGAAGTGATTAACCTGCAGGTTAACACAATGGATCAGTCATATTTATATCTCTTTAATTATTCTCAATTAACAAACGACAGAACTGCGCAGGAAAGGTTAATTGACGTATTTTAAAAAATGTTTAAGGCAATAACACTGAAGTAACCATTTAGCATAAATTCAACAGTCTTGTTTATTGTTGTCCTCATTTATGAATATGCAAGGAAGAAATTCTTACCAACTAATTCAAGTTCAGGGTTTGCAATAGGAGAAAGGCTTTCAGCCTATCAAGCCTGTTCTGTGACATTATTCGATCATGGCTGGATCTTTTCAATCCATTTTCTCCATATCTCTCATTATATTTCATATATCCATCATTTATCTCCCAAGTATCTATCCCCCTTTCTATTCTACATCTACATGCTTCCCGAGCAGAACATCTATCAAACCTACGTGTCAACCACAATTCTCCGACATAATAAAACACATTTTAGTTACTAAGGCACACAGGTTTTAACTTGGGGAAAAACAAAAGAACTCACACAAGGCATTTCAAAGAAACCATTCATTTAGAAACCATTAAGCAGTTTCAATCTGTAAATGGTGATCCAAGGGCCAAGTTTCAAAACATCTAACACTGAGTGCAGCAGGATTTCCCTTCCTGTTTTTACCTGAGATGTCTATCTTTCTAAAGTTAAAAGGGTCTTATCAGGAGTCTTTCTAACTTTTGGTTATGGTCTGAAACACTGCTATTATGGTCTGCCAAGTAAGCCAATCATATCTTTGAGAGCAGTGAAAGAGTCGAGGCAATCAGCTTTAGGATCACCCTAATGATGGAGGGAAAACAGGTGAGGGTTTTTTCCTTACAATCCAGCGACACTTTTTTCCAATCACGCATTTTTAAAATATTTTATTTGCCAATATATTCAATTGAAACTCAAAAGTCTGAGATAATGTTGAATAATCAGAAGCTTAAGCCATATCCCATCGATGCATTGTTAAAGTGAGAAAAACCCACGAAGCACTTTGCATGTGATGCCTTTTGAAACTGCACGTTAAATCCATGCCCCATGCAATGCTCTCACCTGGTTAGAATAAGGCGGTCCAGGTTAATCCGTTGCTGTTTTGCAATCCATGCTGCGCGATAGAGTCGTTCAGCAGTTTTCAGCACGTCAGCATTTAACCGCTGGAGCAGTTGCTTGTCGGAGTTCACGTAGAGACGCTCTTGTTTGAGGTGATGGGCCAAAGTGTGAATATCCGGCTTCACCATCTTCAAACGTCACAGGTGCTAACTGGGAAGAGAAACACAGTTTTTCCTGTGTCATTCAAATGACTGGAGTATATGCAAGATCAAAAGTCTCTGGTACACAGTTGACTAGAGTTATCCAATCTCATTGCAATCGGTTTCCCTAGTTCATATTATTTACCTAAATTGTGTGTTGGGTGAACTTTCACTAAAATGTACATTTTATTTACTACAAAAAAATGAATTCCCCGCCTTCCCCCAAACAACTATTTTGAGGCTTTTCCCCCACAGCGTGGTGCAAAAAAACACACTAAACTCTCAGCTGCTGACACACAAACAATGCAGCACTTAACTGCCAGTCTTCACTTTACACAATTAAGAGTAGAAATTAAATTGTTCTACAATTACTTGTTGAGTAACTGGAAAACCTTGTTACAGCAGCAGTGAATGAATACTATGGGGACATAAACAAGACTTGGAACATGCTTACATTCATCTAACAGGACGCTTGCAAAAAAGCAGTTTTATTCTTACAGCAGTTATCGGTTCATGAATAAAATTTGTGTTTTAAAACTTTCAACTCTCACATCAACCATACAATATTTTGCTGACATAATCCAAAATACTTTGAAAGATTCCCCAGTGTGAAATGCTGCACATAATCCCAAGTATTTTGAACGATTCTCCAGTGTGAAATGCTGTACATAATCCAGGTACTTTGAAACATTCCCCAGTGTGCAATGCTGCCCAACTCTTTCTGCCTCCACCCTCAATTCCAGGACTACTGCAGTCCTGACAGACTGTCTGTCGGACGTCAAGTCCTGGATGAGGGCAAATTTCCAAAGTTGAATGCGAACAAGTCTGAGGCCCTCCTGATTGGCTCGCGCCAGCGCCTCAGGACCTCAGGCTCTGGCATCATCACCCTCCATGGTTGCACACTACAGCTCACCAGCCAGTCAGGAACCTGGGGGTCTTGATCGACCCTCAACTGTCTTTTCTCCCCCACATTCAAGCCATGACCCGCTCTGCCTTCCCTCATCTCCGTAACATCGCCCGACTCCGCCACTACATCTCTACATCACTACATTTCAGGCTGCTGAAATTCTTGTTCATGCTTCATCACCTCCAGGCTTGACTTTGCAAACTCCCTGCTTGTCGGCCTTCCCAACTCCTCCCTCCACAGCTGCAGATAATCCAGAACTCTGCAGCCCGTGTCCTCTCCCGCACCAAACTCCGTGACCCCCATCTCCCCCACTCTCGCCCGACTCCACTGGCTCCCTATCCTTCAGATCCAGTTCAAGATCCTGGTCCTCACCTACAAAGCCCTCCATGGCCTCGCCCCACCCTACCTCTGTGACCTCCTAACTCCCTACCAACCCGCCCGTTCCCTCCGCTCAGCCGCTCTGGCTGCTCCACGTCCCCCGACCCATCCGCCCCACCATTGGCGGGAGAGCCTTCAGCCACTCTGGCCCCAATCTCTGGAATTCTACCCCCCAATCACTCCGCCTCCTCCTTAGCCTCCTCCAAGTCCCGCCACAAGACCTTCCTCTTCGACCATGCCATCGGCCAACCCCCTTCCCCTTCCTTCCTTTACCCCCCCAACCCCAGCTCGGATCTGAAACGCTGTATACTGTGCAGCGCCTTGGGACATCCTCCCGACATGAAAGGCGCTATACAAATGTAATTTTGTTGTTATTGTAAATAAACCAAATACTTTGAAAGATTCTCCAGTGTGAAATGCTGTACATAACCCCAAATACTTTGAAAGATTCCCCAGTGTGAAATGCTGGACACCTTGAAAGCGAGACACCTGGGTTCAATTCCCGGCAGGGCGAAACCTTGGCAAGTTTCCTTACTCTACAAGCCTAATAATAATCCTTCCAAAACAAAAACAATAATAAATTGGTAATTTTCAACCTAAGACTGTTTGTGGGACACTGCTGTGCGCAATTGGCTGCCGCGTTTCGTCCACAAATGTACAGTCAATTCACTTTACAGTATATTTTGTGAAGCGCTTTGAGACGTCTAGAAGACGTGAAAAGCGCTATATCAAATGCAAGGATTATTATTATTCTTATTATAATCTCAAGTACTTTGAAAGATTCCCCAGTGTGAAATGCTGTACATAATCCAAGTACTTTGAACGATTTTCCAGTGTGAAATGCTGTACATATCCCAACTCTGAAAGATTCTCCAGTGTGAAATGAGCTTGACAGATTACTCAATGGGACAGAAAAACAAAAATCACGGGGTACGATGTAAATCTCCAAAAGTTTATTTTTTGGAATTGAAAGTTTCGAGAGCTGGTTATTCAAGAGAAGTCAGCAACCAAACTAGATTATTTTCATCTGGGGAAATTATATAAGAAAATCACAGTGGGTTCTGGGGGGATGGGCTGATCACTCCGTACTCAGTGCTCAATATGTTCCTTACTTCATACATTATATTAACATGAAGTGCTGCATCCTCTCTTCTGAGATGAAATGCACTCCTTTGATTTACTACAGTCTGGGATTGAATCAGAGAGATTGAATACTTATATAAGAGACTGCACATTTCCTCTTATTCTGTGCCCATCGTCTTGATTATGTTACAGTATTTGCCAATTGCCATTTCACTTTTATTTTCAAAAACGATTTTTTATTGCAAGGCAAGTGTGCAAGGCTTCTTTCAATTAACATTCCCAGGTATTGGTTTTGCTTTTTCAAATTGCAACCTGATTTGACTACGTTGCCCACAAAATACACAATTAAATACACATCTTACAGTATATTCTGCAAAGTACTTTGAGTCGTCTCGAAGAGGTGATAAGGCGCTATATCAAATACAAGGATTATTATAGTAGTATTATTATATTACTTTTACCCAGCTCAGTGGAGAGTTTGTACCTCCTGACCTGTGAATTTTGCTGGCACGTTGTCTGATATAGTCCTCTCTAAGCATCTCCAGGGGTTCAGGGACGCAACCCCGCGTGAAGGACACTATATAAATGCATGTTGTTATTGTTGTTCTATCACTTGTGCCTTTCCTATCACAATCCACACAAGCAATCTTGTAAAGGCAGCTGTCGATTCATTTCAGGAACCACCAAGCTCAGCTCGTTGCATAGTAATCCCACTGACATGCACCTTTCTGATAATAAATTGTCATGGTATATTATTCTAGGATTGCAGCACATTGCACCAACTCTAGATATGTATGAGCGGCTATCTAAATATAAATGAATGAGAGCTGAAACTCATATTTCTCCCTAAATAAAAAAAATCCTGCAAGTTATTGAGGTGTAAAAATAACTCTAAAAGCTTGAATTGATCCAGAGTTGTGCCAACTACAAGCCAGTAGCAACTGTGATGGTTTCATTTTTCAAATTTCTCCGAACATAAATGTGCTCAAAAGGTGTAGTAGCGGGTGTCAGCCCACCTGGCACTGTGCTAAACGTACAGCCAACAAAATAGTCATTGCAAAATTGCAAGAGAGGAAAAAAAAGCCTTTCCAAACAGAAACCCAAGATTTTAATGTCAGTAACAAATTAGTTTTCAATTAGAGGTTGTTTACAGGAACACAGCTGAATACACCGACTGTTCCCAGCAGGCCTGTTTCTGAAAGAAGCCCTGAGGATGAGGAGAGGAAGTCACTTGTCAAGTCTGGTAAAAATCCAGAGCTTCGCTCTTCAGCTATTTGCAGTGAGATCACTTTCAAAGATACATGAATAGGAAATGGAGACCATTCCAAATTTCAGTATTTTTGAAAGGAATCTTGATGTCTGATGAAGGAACAGTGGAGTTTGGTGATAATCTGGTGAAACGTTAAGGTAACCAACAGCACTGACTGCAAACAATGCACCAGTGCACACATGTAAACACATTCTCCTAAATTAGTCACATTGCCTTTCCCAGACATGTATGTCAAAGGGAGAACAAACTCTCACCGCCATTTCAACAGCAGAAATGGTAGATGTTTGAGAATGGGCCATCAACATAATAATACTTGCATTTGAATTAGCACCTTATCACGTTTTCGAGACATCTCAACATGCTTCACAGAAGACTGTACATTTTATGGGCGAAACATAGCAGCTAATTGCGCACAGCAGTGTCCAACAAACAGTCGTGGATTGAGTGACCAAATTATTAATTTTTTTTTTGAAGGGATTATTCCCCCGGGAAAGCAATCCGTCAATTAACTAACAACTAACTGCTAGGTAAACAGAGGCGTGTAGAGTAATAAAACTTGCCCAATGTTTAGCCCTGCCCGGGAATCGAACCCTGGTCCTCTTGCTTGCGAGGCGAGTGCTCTAACCACTACGCTACAGGACTCCCACAACAACATTGTAGAATTGTAAAAAGCTGGGTGGAGGAGCAGTAAATTGGGACAGTTGAGTTCCAGGTAAAATGAACTGGGCACAAAGTGGCTAGAAATCAAAGGGATTTCTAGAATTGCTGATCCTTAAGAAAAACTGTCCAAAACTACCAAACTGTGTACATTCTGCAGTGCAGATATCCTAAAAAAATTGTTTTAAATCACATGCTGTATTTAAGAAAGAATTCATCATAAGATCCAGTATTCTAAAGGAACAACTTTGTGCTTTGAATAAATTATGCCACTTCTCTTCTCTGGTGCAGGGTTATCTACAACAATTGTGCACTCTTTATCCACAACATTAAAACTGCCAATTCCGATGTGTTCTTTCACCACCAATAAGCTTTCAGGATGATATGAAACTCATAAGCAGAACAGAATGCTGACAATTTCCTATTTCTGCCGCTTAAGCGGAACGTGGTCTATAGAAATTCAGCACAACTAAAGAGTACTATGAGACGACAGGAAGTGGATTCGTGACTAGGGAACAAAACCTCAAAACAAAATGAATTGTAGATCGTACTTTTGTTCTTTATTACAAAAAAGATAAAATAACACTTTTTCCGGGAATTTGAAGAAACTGGAACATCACATTGGAGTCGGATATTTATAAGAAATGCAGAGATGTTTTTCCTGTCTATGAACAACATTTCAAAGACAATTTGGTGCTAATCCTACTTCCGCTTTCTTTTCAAACAGGACGATGCAATTTTCTCACGATTCACGAAAGTAAATTGAATGACAAACTTGGTGTCAGTTTGTCAAATTGGCTGCCATATTCACCTACAAAATAATCATTATACTTTATATTCCTCTATATTTGAAGGGCAATGATTTGATGCTAGCATCGTTCCGATAACCTGCTCAGATACACCTCACAATTACTCAACTATGCTGAAGGAGGGGAAGAGAAGAAGAAATGGCTGCCACGTTTTGCCCACAAAATACACAGTCACTCCACTTTACAGTATATTCTGTGAAGCTGTAAGATATTTCAATGACAATGATAAGGCACTATATCAAATGCAAGGATTATTATTATTATATATAGCTGTATCTGATATAGTCACTCATCACCATCATTTACTTTCAGCAGTTATCTCAAAAGCAACTGGGAGGAGGGAGAAAGCAATGGACTGAAACAGACTCCAATTCTAGCATCCCAGCACTGAGATCAGCTAATTCAGCACAGAGTAAGGATCAAAGAAACCTTCCTGATTTATATGGAAAAGCACCAGACTTCATTAGCATTTGCCTTCTGAGACTTCAGAGATGACTCCCAACAGTATTTCACAAAACTAATTGCAGAAGTTTTTTTTAATTTAAATCACTAACCTCTTCGAAACCTTCCACTGTTGATCTTATGTTGTGATGTCTAGCAAACAGATCTGACGCAACTTCTGAACACTGGGATCTTTGAAATCTGTGATTAAGAGTGAAAGAGAATGTTGTGAGCGAAGGAGGTTGTTTCTTCTGGTAGCAAGAAGTTCTGAATAATGGCTTTTTAACAAACATTTAGTTGTGATAGAATGCCAGTAAACACACAATCTTTGCATTTTTATCACAACAATAAGACAGCTGAAAATAAGGTACAATATTCCAGTCCAATATTTTCCTACATTACACAAGTTCATTCAATTTGAAATATCAGAAACCAGATATCCTTTCAATTGAAGCTACCTTTGACCCTAGATTAATTTCCCAGTAGGTTCAAATTGACTGTCATTATGGATCTTATTTCAATTAAGTGCTACACTCCTATGCATGGCAAATGAATTCTTGAACACATTTTAAAAACTAAAACTAAAATCACTCAAAATCTTTCAGTTTATTCCAATGAACAAAAGCAGATCTAAAATTATTCAGATGATGGTACGATGGTAAAGTTAGCCTGCCCAGGACTCGGACATGTCACAAATCAGCCAAGGTTCCTACTTTTGCTCTCTATTCTTCCTGGAAGATGATGGATGCAAATAGGAACTGACTCAAACATAAAAAGTGATTGATTGCCTTTCAATTCACAATTACCTTGAATATGCAATGAAGAATCTGTAACTTTGGTTACACCTGAACAGCTTATTATTAACCCTGTCAATATGACTAATGCAATGAATGTGTAATACATGATGCTTACTGCAATGACATCAAAATTAATCTCAGCACGAATCAACATCAATGAAATATTTGAAATCCGTGATTATCATTTGGTTTGCTTATTCCTCAACTGTATTGATGATAAAGAATCATAAAGAATTTGTCCACAAAACACACAGTCACTACACTTTGCAGTATATCCTGCATACTGTACTGGTAGCAGTAGCGTCCCGGAGTGCCACTGTGAAGGGCTCCAGGACACTACCTCGCGTGAAGGGGACTATATAAATGCAAATTATTGTTGTTATCCTGTGCAGTGCTTTAAGACGTCTCAACAACGTGATAAGGTGCTTTATAAAATGCAAGGATTATTACTATTATAAAATACATCAAGTTACCCACAAGTCGTTTACAGCTAAGTCCTTTCCTTTGAAGGCCTAGTTTCCTAAGGGAGCTGGATAACCAAAGAAACGTTGTGGTTTACAGAAGATGAGATATAACTACCATGATTAGGTTCAGTTGCCTACATGTAAATGAACAACTTGCATCATATATTTGTATATAATTATAGCTACATTATAGCTATAATTCAATTACATGAAATCAAGACCAAAAGCATACATTTCCAGTTACTTTCAAAATGTTATTAACTGTCCAAAAGTATTCTGCATATCTTTCCTTCTCAGAACCTACACTCCCTTTCTGTCAACCTCCAATATGCCCTTTACAGATATCCCTAGACCACGATACAAGATACAGAATGTACAATCATAGAATGACAATGAACCGAGAGAAAGATGACTATCTACATCCACAAAATGTTAAACAATTTAAAGCAAAATTAATAAAGAACCACCTTTACTTCAAACCCTACACTGAAGCTGGATAACATTACAAAGCAACAATTTGGAGGGAAAAATGCACTGAGGATTAGATTTTTTAAATACAATCTTTCAGATGTATCTTAAATAATAACTCTGACCAGTTTAATGTCAGAACCAATGTTGCCAGATTGGACAGATTATTGTTGCACTGTGCATGAAACAACGGCTTTGGGCTGGTGCCCGTTTTTTACCTTTTTAATTTTAACTGCAAAACGCAAATAAACTTTTTTTTCCCCAATTTGAAAATCTTGACAATTTCAAAAGCATTAACTTAAATTGGCAACACATATTAGGCTACTCTGGGGCCAATATTTGATTTGACTTTGGTATGTAACAAAGGTATTTTAAGGTATTTGGTCCTGAATAGGAGTGAGATCAAAAGCAGCCAATAACATTTAATAAAAAATCAGGATAGGAGCAAATCACAAAGTAGAAAGATTTTTTTTCAGAATGTTCCACCATGTGTCTGCCACATTATGTAAATCATTACAGTAACATGTGAATCCAGAAAGAAAATATAAGCACAAACTAGACAGAGCTCGTTTGATCAAAACTGCTATTAAGTGATTTATGATGACATCATTTTCTATTTTAAAATGATCATTCATTAGAAATCATGACTGTTTGTCAAAATGGGCCATAAATTACATGCAGCATCAGTAATGGGAGAAAACAAAAGACTGAATAAGGCTCACCAGAACATTATCATTTCTACACCTTAGACTTAAATCTAGTGACTGAAAATACCAGNAAAAAACATTTACTACAATTCAACAGTCTAAAGAACCAGTTCAGCAACTTATATCGCCAAATGCCATTTTCAACCAACCCTTCCCTTCAAACTGTTCAGCCCACGTTAAACAACACTATGTTTGGTCGTGGGATGTTGTCATAGCTGATTTTGTATTGGTTCAGCTGTGTCGCCTCTGGGTAAGAAGGTTGTGGGCTTAAACCAAGCCTTGTGCTCATTGTCTCGGCTGCCACTACAATGCACAAAATGGGAGACATTGTCTTGGTGCCATCTTTCTGATGAGATGCTAAACTAAGTGTAGCTCTTTGAGAGTTTAACATGAGGTCTCATAAAAATATTGATCTTATTTTTGTTTTGACCGTTTTGCACCTCTGTTGTCCAGTGAGAGAAACCAGGAATGCTATGACATTGGTTTACCCCTACCCATAGCAAGTTACGGTGCTCCATTAAATTTATATAGAAATCAGAAACAGGAGGAAGCTATTCAGCCCCTTGAGCTTGTTCCACATTCTATAAGATCATGGCTAATCTATACCTCAAGTCCAGTTACCTGCCCTTGCCCCGAATCCCTTAATACACTGACCTAACAAACATCTATCCACCTCTGTCTTGAAAGTGCGAATGGATCCAGCATCCATAGCCTTTTGGGGGAGAGAGTTCCAGATTTCCACTACCCTTCGGGTGAAAAACTGCCTCCTAATTTCAATCCTAAATGGCCTAGCTCTAATTTTAAGATTATGTCCCCTTGTTCTGGATTCCCCTACCAGAGGAAATAGTTTATCTGTATCTACCCTATTGAATCCCTTTATTATTTTAAAAACCTCAATCAGATCACCCTTCAACATTCTAAACTCAAGGAAATAGAGACCACGTTTATGCAATCTGTCCTCATAATTTAACCTTTTCAGCGCTGGTATAATTCTGGTGAATCTGCGATGCACCCTCTCCAGAGCTAATATATCCTTCCTGAGGTGCGGTGCGCAAAACTGAACTCAGTAATCCAGATGGGGTCTGACCAAGGCTCTATACAGTTGAAGCAATATTTCTTCTCCTTTATCCGGCACAGGCATGATCAGCCAAATGGCCTCCTTCTGTGTTGTAATAACAATATTCTATGATATTCCAGCCTCCTTGGGATAAAGGCCTTTTTGATAACTTTTTGTACCTGTGAGCTTGTTTTTAGAAATGTATATGCGTGGACACCCAAACCCCTTTGCTCCACAGTTCTTAGTTTCTCACCATTTAGAAACAATTTTCTTTTGCTATTTTCGGATCCATAATGGATGACCTCGCACTTCCACACATTGAATTACATCTGCCAGTTTTGCCCACTCACTTAATCTAAGTCCCTTTGTATCTTCCTGCTCCCATCTAAATAATTTAATATGCTTCCTAACTTTGTGCCATCTGCAAATTTGGATATAAAACTGTAGCTCAGTGCTTAGAGCACTCGCCTTGCAAGCGAGACACCTGGGTTCAATTCCAGGCAGGGTGAAACTTCGGGCAAGTTTCCTTACTCCACACAGAGCCTAATAATAATCCCTCCAAAATAAAACAATAATTGGTCACTTTCAATCCACGACTGTTTGTGGGACACTGCTGTGCGCAATTGGCTGCCGCGTTTCGCCCACAAATATACAGTCAATTCACTTTACAGTCTATTCTGTGAAGCGCTTTGAGATGTTGAGAAGACGTGAAAAGCACTATATCAAATGCAAGAATTATTATTATTTCCTTCATCCAAGTCATTTATATGTATGATGAAAAGCTGAGGCCCCAGTACAGACCCCTGAGGAACTCTGCTTGTCATGTCCTGCCAATCAGAAAACATTCCTTTTACCCCTACTCTGTTTCCTGCCTCACAACCAATTTCCAAGCTACTTTAGGTTACCTCCGATTCCATGCGCTTTTATTTTTGCTAATAAACTCTTGTGCAGAATGTTATCAAATGCCTTCTCAGAGTCCTTATAGACAACATCCACAAACACTCCACCATGTTAGTGACCCCTCAAAAAATTCAATTAGAATCGTTAGACATGACCTACCTCTTCACAAATCCATGCTGACTCTCTTACAATAGCTCATACTTGACCAAGTGCTCAGTAACTCTGTGCCTAATGAGAGATTCCAGTAACTTCCCCACAAGTGAAGTTAAGCTGACAGGTCTGTAGCTACCTGGTTTCTCCCTCCCTCCCTTCTTAAATAATAGAGTGACATTTGCAATTCTCCAATCCAAGGGCACAATTCCTGAATATAGCGAACTTTGGAAAATTATGACTAACGTATCTGGAATTTCCTCCCCTACTTCTCTTAAGACCCTGGAGTGAAATCTATCAGGTCCTGGAGATTTGTCTATCTTTAATCCCATTATTTTCTCCATTACCATTCTTTTATATGATCTTTATCTTCAGTTTGAGATTGTGGTCCTTGATAAAAAGTTAGTGAGAAATACTTGTTTTGAGATTGAAGCCAGTTACACTAACAATATGTTAATGCCAGCAGCATACTATAGTGCATATGGCAAACGACTCATCAAATATTTTCTTCTGATCAGCGGGACAACAACCACAAATGAAAAGCTCAATCGGCATTTCTCCCAATAAGGTAGTTTGATGTGTCCAGCTTATACCGCCAACAGGTGCACATGGTACAGAAGACAGGGCCGTGGCATTATGTCACAGCTTCTATCATGTT